ATTATACATATGGTTAATTGTTCTCATATAGAATTTTTCAAATAAAAATCAATGCACGTCATTAAAGATTTACGACGTCAGAAACTCACAGCGTTGACAAAACATCAGAATAGTTAAAAAGTGAGAAATTTTTAAAATGTCATTTATTTAAGAATACAATACACTGTTTACTTGAATTTTTAGAATGAAAAAATAATCACATTTTCAATTTTTTTTTTTCACTTTTTAATAATGTGGAAAACGAGATACATTTAATCCATACTATTATAAAAGAGCACAAAAAATGTGTAATTTTAAATACATTTTAAAATTTAACTAGTAAGACACTAAATAAATTAATAAATTTTATTGAATATTGCATCTAAATTGACACGATATCATTCGGGAGAACCTAATAATGACGAGGCCCTCCAAAAGAAATTGTAAGTGTAAACCTAAAGCTAATAGTCAGTCTCGAGGTATAAACACTATTTTTACACTAAAATACATAACAAAACATTTTAATACAAAATTATTTACTCTAAATTATTTAACTCACCCTTTTTAGAGCATTTAATAATAAAAACGGTCAGCCGTTACTTCGTTCTTGTTGAAAAAATCCAATAAACAAGCTATCAGATCGCTACAGACTATTCAGTTGTTTTTGGCATGGGCCAATGACAATGCATAGCAATAATTAGTTTTTCTTCTCCTTCTTCTTTTTTTTGATATATAGACATGAGTCTGTCTGTTTTTTAATGTAGCTCCAGTAAGTAGGCGTTCCATCGTTTTAGTGGTCTTCCTACTGATCGTATTTCTATTGAGGAACAGCCTCTTGTCGTGTTTACTACTCTAATTGTTCTCATTCGGATTATATGCTCGTTCCATTCTACTCTTCTATTTCTTACCCAGTTCTTGATGTTCTCCACCTTGCATGTACGTCGTATGTTTGTAGTTCTAGCTCTGTCCCATAGTGTCTTATGATCAATTTTTCTAAGTGTTTTCATCTCTGCTGTTTCTAACATCCTTGTTGTTCTCTCTGTATCAGGTCTTGTTTCTGACGCGTATGTCATTATTGGTCTGATGACTGTTTTGTAAATTTTGCCTTTCGTTTCTTTCCCAATATTTTTATTTCTCCATATTGTTTTATTTAGGCAGCCTGTGTTTTTAAAGCTATTAAGCTAAATTTAATTTGTATTTATAAATATTTCATTAAGAACGTTTCTTCCGTTTCTGGGCATAGCTAAATTCCAATGTAAAAGTTTATATCAAATAAAGCAAAAACTATGGCAGATATTGAGATGATTCTTTTTTTATATGGAAGGTCTTATAAAAGGAAGGTTAGTGCACTATTTGGTTGTAAATTGATAAATTGTTTACACAATTTTTTTTTTCAAATATTTATGGTTAAAATAAACGTAAAAATTTTACTTTCCGAATCTGTTTTTATTTTTAACATAAAGTGTAAAACAAAGCAGCTATTTGGTATAAACTTTATTAAAAATCGCAAATTTTGCTAAATAACTCTCTCTCTCGGTCAATACAGGCTGTCCTTATCGATAGTTTCTGGATTCTCGCCGACGGTTAGGTGAGTTAGGTAAGAAGTATAATACCCTCTCGAGGGTGGGTCATAAATAATGTTAAATAATATTATTAGGGTTAATTTCGACTTTTGACAAACCAGTGTGTTAATTGTTTTTAAAATGGGTAATTCACGAAAACGTTTATGTTCCGATTGAGGAAATTTTATATAAATAAGCAGTAACTACCTATAATTTGATTAAATTTTTATATGAATAGAAATATTTTCTGTTGATTTGTGACATTTTCCTTCTAAATGTTTATACTGTTTTTATAATAATACTATTGTTTCAGTATTTGCTTATATAATAATAATTTATTATGTAGAAACAGCGTAGAATTTTGGTCAATCAGCCAGTACATTTTTTTGTATTTCAATCAGAATTATTATTTTCTTTTCTTATTTACATAAAAGCTTAGAGTAATACTCAAATATTTTGCAGTATTTGAATGTGGAATTTGATTATTTATATTTATTGGACAATACCCAAATATTTTGCTGTATTTGAATATAAAAATTGATTATTTATATTTTATTGGAATATTCATTTTGAACGTTTTTGTTAGTAAAGTTTACATAATATATGAAGTTTGTTTCTTCACTTGCTTGTCCAGTCATATTAGTCCAGTAATAAGGATTTTCTCGTGACCCTCAATAATCCAGGTAGTTGACAACTTTTTTAGTTATTGTAGAACTATAAGAAGAAAACCTACCTGTTTCCTGCCGTTTTTTAACATTTTATCCGATTAACAATTTAATGCAAAAAAACGCGATTTTTTCGATTTTTGCACTCTATTATTTATTTATTTATTTTTACGCACAACAGGCCGTTAAGGCCTAGGGGATTTATTTTACAACATATTTCTAATATTAACTAATTACAATTATTTTAAACAAAACTTGTATAATGTATATATGTATATATAATATTCCTAACTTCTCTGAAGGACCTGGTGTACAATATTTTTCCATTCGCTTCTGGGTCTACCTCTTCTTTTGGGGCCGATTAATTTTCAGGTTATTACTAGTTTAGGCATTCTGTTTGCTGCCATTCTTTTCACATGTCCCAACCATCTGATTCTTTGTGACTTGACGAACTTGGTAATGGTAGGTTCTCTGTATAAAGCCATTAATTCATTGTTGGTTCGTCTCTCCCAACCATCTTCTGTCTTCCGTCCTCCGAATATGCGTCTCAGTATTTTCCTTTCCCATCTTTCCAGAGTATCCTGTTCCTTCTTATTTAATGTCCATGTCTCACCGGCATATGTTACTGTGGGTCGAATTACTGTTTTATATATTCTGAGTTTACCTTGTCTAGAAACGTATTTTGAGTTCAGTAGGGCTCTTAAACCACCTAATTTTTCATTCCCTTTTGCTATTCTGGGTTCGAGCTCCCATTTCTCTTTTCCATTTTCATCAAAAACTACACCCAGGTATTCAAATTTGTCCACCTTTTTAAAACTATAGCTTTTACCACTTACTGACCTCACACTAAAGTCTTCTTTTTTCCCTTCTGTCCCTTCTATGATCATATATTTGGTTTTGTCTTCATTTAGTTCCAATCCGAATTTCTGTGCTTCTTCGATGATTTTCTTCACAACTCTTCTTAATTCTTACTCGGTTTTTGCTAGTATCGTTAGATCACCAGCAAATGCCAAGGTGCTCATTTTTTCATGATCGTTTCTTCCACCTTCATGCTGAATTTTCTGATTACAGTTTCTAATACTAAGTTAAATATTGTAGTGGATAAAGGATCTCCCTGTCTCAAGCGTTTTGCAACCGTAAATTGATCTGATATGTGACCCTGCCAAGCAATTTCACACGTAGAGTTATTAAGTGTCATTTTAACTAGTCGGATTAGTTTCTTTGATATACAGAAATGTTCCATTGCTCGATACATTTTGACTCTATCGACTCTCATACACTTGTCTAAAATCCACAAACAAAACATGCAGAGGAACTTTACCTTCATAACAAGTCGTTTGTATCTCCTTTAATGAGAAGATTTGGTCCACAGTAGATCTGTCCTTTCTAAAGCCGGCCTGATATTCATGCAGGATTCTTTCCGTGTAGCAATTTAGTTTATTTCTCAATATTCTTGCCAAGATTTTGTATACCGTATCTAATAAGGCTATACCTGATCCAATTTCCTGATTTTTATGGAATTTGAAACTTCGCATTGTCTTCCTAGTTGTTCGAGAACTTAATTGTTTGTTTTGCGATCCATCCATGATATTTTTAAAATACGGCGGTAACACCACATTTCGAATGCTTCTAGGTTTTTAATGTTGGATTTTTTAAGTGACCAAGCTTCAATCCCATATAAAAGGGTAAAGAAAATATAACATCAAAGCATTCTTATCCGGAGCGATAAGAAAAAGCGATTTGATATCGCGATTACAAAAAAGTTTTCTCATTATATTAAAAGTTGACCGTGCAATTCCAATGCGGCATCTTATTTCTTTTCTCTAATCAGTATTTTCTGTGATCCATGCTCCAAGGTATTTGTACAAAGATATTTGTTCAATTTCTGTATTATCTAGTACTAGCTTAACTTTGATGCTTTGTGCTTTTGTAAATACCATGAACTTGGTTTTCTTCAAATTTATTTTTAGTCCAAAAAATGTACCTATAATATGATATAATCCCTATAAAATGTCTTCCGACGTCC